CTTGTATCTTGGGATTTGTTGGGATATCCAGTGGCCAAAGTGTTCCTGGGACTGGGTCATCCATACGGATCGTGTGCTGAAGCGATGGGTTTGTTCGCAGGATATTCGGCTTCATGCGACAGCCCCTGCACGAAAGCGATTCCCAGTGTGAAGCCTCATATGTGGGTGAGTGTGAACACGGAAAGGGCACAGAGTGTTCACGGGGTCTACACATAGCCGTGAGCTCTATATTCATGAACAAGGTCTCTAATACTCTGTCTGTATGTTGGGGTTTGGTGAGATACAAAATTATCCAAGGTCTCCTGGGAAAAAAGGTCGTCTTCTGTGATGGTTTCCAAATCCGGAAGGTTGTCTGCGTCAGCATGAACGGCAGGAAGTAACCAAAGGGCGTTAAGGAATCCGTAAACCCGATGTTTCTCGAGTTCATCCTGTAGTTGTTGGAACGGCATAAAAACTTCTGTGTTTTCGTAAGGAGAACCTGCCATGAGACGACGCACAGTGTCGTTCAAGGTACTGTGGTATACACGAAGAAGGTGGTCATAATGTCGTTTCCTCATGCCGGCTTGAGTGCTAGTGTAAAGGAAATGCAGAATGTCTGTAGCTGGAGAGGCATAGCGGCCAACTTGCAGGTCCAACAATCGCACTTCCTCGACTTGTCTCGGCTGACTGTACCGGAACAGAAAATTGTTGCTCCAGCAGTCTCCATGGCAGATGACAGACCATGGTTCTTTCGGCTTCACAAGTTCACACATAATCCTGAATACGTTACCACTGAAGCCATCTATCTTCTTGATATCTGCATCAAAACTACCGTCGTTGTGGGATATAGAACGAAGACATTCAGTTGCCATTTTAAGTGAGTTTTCAAAGTACACGCTGAAGAGTCTGGCTGCGTCTTCGACATAAATTACTTCTTGGATGGACTCTCGAATTTTCTGAAATTGTTTCGGGTTCAGCAGTTTCAAAGCAAGAGACATGGCGTGGTACTTGGCGAGACCCTGCACACAAAAGCATGGAATGAAACCTTTTGGTGCAGCAGAAGTGAATTGGATTGGGTTAGGAACGTGATCTGTGCAAATCTAAAATTTTTGCACTGTATATCAACATTACGTATGCATTACGTGCAATGAGGAAGGAAACCCAGGAGAAAATTGTTCATGATACTAAAACAAGCAGAATTGCCTCTTAATTTTAGAGATATCATTGTTGTCCGTCTCATCTTTGATATATTCAATTCAAGAAACAACCTCACGACATAGCATGCAGTTTAGCCAATAACGGATTAATTTCCACCACTTCAGTCATCTTTTGGGGTGTCCGCCAGAAAATTAAATTTGTAACAATTACGTAACCAAACTTATGAAATAATTAATATCATAGCTTAACATTCATATATACAAATTAAAATATAATAATTTAAAAATTGTGTCCAGATATTAGAGCAGTAAATCTTGTCTCTCATATTTCCGTCTTTTATTTTAAAAGAGTTATGAGGTCAAAATCAGGAAAGTGGTGAAGTCTGCCAACCCCCCCCCCCGTGACTCTCATGAGGTCCCAGGTGCAAACTAATGCAATCTTGTGAGACATGGTGACTGTTGTGAGGTCACAGTAAGTAAACTAATGCAACCTGTTGAAATTCCGTGATGGCCATATGTCCAAATTAGGACGCAACAGCCATCACTGATCCCCAGTAATAGTTTCAGGTTCCAACTAGCAAAGGAATGCACTCTATCGAACTCCACTAGC